GTTGGGAGTAGAAGTGGTTAAACCACTTCAGGCTGTCAGAGACTGCTTCTGAAAAGCAGCTCTGTCCCACAGGCCTGGGGGTGGCAGGAGGTGAGAGGGCAGAGCTGGACCGCAGAGGCTGAGATCTGCCTTGTCCCCTCTGTCCGCTGTCAAAGCAGGCCCCGGCAGGCACAGTCAGGACACAGCCAGCCACCCTCAGCCACAGCCAAAACCCACGCTGGCTTCCTTGGTCCCCGACTGGCTGCCAACCAGGGCCTGGCACCTAAGCAGGACGTCTGCAGGATTTGCCGGGCCCTTTGTTCAAAAATGATCAATTATGAAGAATTTCAAGATGGTGACAATAAAACATCAAACCAAGCACGGGGCCCTTCTGAGCATGAGACGCTGGCACCTGGCTGGGTTGCACACCCACGAAGCTGTGTGCATGGAGCCCAGCCCTGCAGTGGGAGCGAGGCCTCCTTACTGGCCTGGACCACACGGTTTCTATCTGAAAACCTCCTTGTGGTGGACCCAGCCCCTTCTCAGGGCAGACAGCAGCATGTGCTGTTTGGAGGCCCTGAAACACCTGTGCCCAGCGGCTGTCTGGGGACACACACCCATTTCACAATCCCACCACCTGTAACTCGGTTGGGAAATGTGTTCTAAGTCCCAGATTTCCTTTAGTTCCTCTTCCACTAAGGACTTTGGCCTGGGCACCTGCTGCCCCCAGCCTGGGGCTCCTTCCCCGCTATCCCACTCCGGAGAGGGGCCACCTAACCCCATGGGATCCAGCTGCATCCAGGCTGAGTCCCTTTGTTCCTTTCCAACTCTTGTCCCTCTGAAACCATCGCCTGGACTTACATGTTTACAAATCTGTTGTCTGCCTCACCTGCAAGCATCTGAGCCTCAGAAGGCCCCTAGGAAGATGCTCCATAAAGATGAGTTAAATGAAACTCCACCTCCTCTGAGTGGACTACCCTGATTACTAACTCAACCTCTATCTCAATGTTACCATATCTGATGTAACTTAGTTTAGCTATGGGTTTGCATGCCTGTCTAGTCTGTCTTGCCCACCCCCCAGGATGTCACATGAGGGTGGGGAGTTTGTTTTTCTATTTATTTATTTATGGCTGTGCTGGGTCTTTGTTGCTGTGTGGGCTTTCCTCTAGTTGCGGTGTGCAGGCTTCTCATTGCGGTGGCTTCTCTTGTCATGGAGCACAGCCTCAAGGGTAAGTGGGCTCAATAGTTTTGGCTCCCAGGCTTTAGAGCACAGGCTCAATTATTGTGGTGCTCGGGCTCAGTTGCTCCATGGCATGTGGGATCTTCCCAGACCAGGGATTGAACCAGAGTCCCTTGCATTGCAAGGTGGAGTCTTTACCCACAAGTTACCTGGGAAGCCCCAGGAGTTTGGGTTGCTGCCCTGTGTCTACTAGACCCAGCACAGTGCCTGGCACTGAAGAGGGGCACAAAGGTAGAAAATTCTTTCCCCAGCTTTCAGTCTCCTTCCCACGGACTCAGGCTGGTCCCACAGAGGTGGGCCACCTCCTGCTTCCAAGAGGGCGAATTCTCCCACCCCGCCCACATTACTTCATTCCCTGCCTGGTCCGGCAGTGGGCTCTGCCCTTCCTCATCACTGAATTCCCAGCATCACATAGGGCTGTGCCTGGCACACATAGGGTTGCCAGATTTAGCAAATAAAAACACAAGCCATCCAGTTAAATTTAAATTTCAGATAAGCAACACATAAATGTTTAGTGTAAGTATGTCCCAAATACTGCACAAGATACACTTATACAACAAGCTGTTCATGGTTTGTCTGACATTCACATTGATCTGGCAGCCCCACGCACTCATGAACTTCCATGAGTGTGGGTAGTCAGGTGCATGCTTCTTCCAGAGCACCTCTGTCCTTTCCTGCTTCTGACTCAGCCAGGGGCTCTGTCATCGTGGGAAGACTTTCCAGTTGTCAATGCCCTCATCTGTAAAAGAGAAAATAATATCGTACCAGTTTCTCCCCTCCCAAGATTCTATGAGGATTAACTAGCCTAACTGCTAATAAATAGATTGCTGGTGGCTCAGACAGTAAAGAATCTGCCTGCAATGCAGGAGACCCGGGTTCAATCCGTGGATTGGGAAGATCCCCTGGAGAAGGAAATGGCTCCCCACTCTAGTATTCTTGCCTGTAGAATCCCATGGACAGAGGAGCCTGGCAGGCTACAGTCCATGGGGTTGCAAAGAGTCGGACATGACTGAAGTGACTGAGCATGCATGCACGCTAATATATATTCAACCCTCTTTTTACCTACTTCCAAGCCACTGCCTCCTTCACCTCTTTGGATCACCCCAGGCAAAGGCACTATTAGCGTTCCCATTTTGAAGAGAAGGAAACTGAGAGATGAAAGTACTCACTGAAGTCACATGACTGTGTCCCACTCATCTTAGGAGGTGCAGTTGCCACCACCACACTGACACCCTGCATTAGGCCTCCAGGCAAAACTCACTTTGGAACAAGGGCGGAAACCAATAACTCGTCCCGGTGACACCATCAAAACAGTGTGATCACAGTGTAGGTGCTCATTAAATGTTCCCGTGCTGTTGTCCCAGACAGATCAACCAGAGGTTGATATTGTGGGTTTGTTTTTTTCATCCACTGAATTAACTGGTTATTTTTGCCAGCCATCGGTTTAACCTGGATTGTATAAAATGCTGCTCCATTTCCAAGACAATCAACCTGTGTGATTCTTGTGGCCACACAGGCCAGATCAGCTGCATGAGACTTCAGGAGGGTAGAGACAGCTGCTCCTGGCCTCAGCCAATTCCTGGCACTCAAGGTTCACTACAGCTCAGGGAATGTCTGTTGTTTGAATGACTCGAGGAATGGCTGAAAGGAGGGGAAATGCTGGTGACCCCCTGTGGCCTGACACGTGAACGGGGCTCAAGGTCATTCCCAGGCCCTGACAACATTCTCACTGCGCCCCTGCACCCCCAGCCCTGCCCTCAAGGAATGCTCAAGACTCTCCTGCTTTTCCTCCAAGCTGCTGAAGTTAAACTGCAGCAAGACCTTCCCCCTCCTTCCGTAGGCATCTTGGTGAGACCTGCCTCTTCTTTAAGGGAGGGGCTGAGACTGCCTTGAGTCTGTGACAGGGGTCCCCTCCATGGTAGGTCCTGAGCAGGCCCTCCCTTCCAGGGCCCTGGGCTTGGCTTCCTCACCAGCAAGTCACCCTGAGCTTGAACCCTCCAGAAAAAGCTTCCGGCTTGTGTTAAGAAAGCAAGAGGCATCACTGTGCCCAGTTGCAGAAGAGACCTCACCACTTCCTGGGCTGGGTTTCTCTGAGTTCTGTGAGATACAGCTACGGTTCCATAACTTTTAAGCCTCTTCCCACCACTGCTGCCCGCCCCCTCCCCGCCCTCTCCCCCCAATGCAAAAGCTGTCTCTATTAAGAAAATTCCAGGCAGTTCTGGGATATGCAGAGGATATTTCAAGAACTAAAAATATTTGGGGCAGGGGGTCTGACCTGGGTTCAGCTTAGAACTCCTCCATGTGTGACACCCACACCCCGCCAGTTTCCGTGTCTGTAAAATGGGAATAATAATATACCTGCCACCCAGAGTAGGTGTCAGATGGCCTTCTTGTTTGGTAAGTTTCTGGCACAAAGTAGTAAGTACTTGTTAAATAAATAGAGACTCAGGGCAGGGTCTAGGAGAGGACACACCGAATTGTTGAGAGGATGGAGATGTGCCAGGGCGGGGGGCCTCTTACATAATATTTTAATATCTTTTTAATTCCAGGAGAATGTGTTCTTGTAGCACTTGTGTAATTAAAACTTGAAATAAAAGTACACCCTCGCACTTCCTCCCGCGTCTTTAGAACTCCGGAGCCGCTTCTCCCCACCTCGCCCACCGCAGGCCAGTGGCCCTTTGGGCAGCAGACCTAGGGTGTGGATTCGCCCCGAGCCTCACTGGCCCGGACAGTACAAGTCCCCGACACGTATTTACATGACAAGGGTTCCTGGGCGTTTCTCGGAGCAGTCCGGGGCTTGTCTACAGGAGTTCTAGTTTTCCCCAGTCGACCTCCTCTAGGTCGAGATAAATTGCGCGGGGGGCGCAGTGGGCTTGGGGCCTCTTGGAGCTGCAGATCTGGAATCGGGGAGTTGACTGCGAAATCAGGTAACGGATGACCTGAAGGGCTCCCCGCTTTTCCCTAATTTCCCCTGCCCGGAATCCAAGGGACCTCGTGTTTCTTTGAAGGGGGACAAGCTTCCCCCCAAAGCCTCGGTCAAGGACCTCGGGTTGTGGGGAACGCACCCACAAAGGCTGGGACCCAATCCCGCTCTCCCGGGCCTGGCCTGTGCGGGGCAGAGCTTCCAAACTGACTGCCGTTTGGGGGGGGATGCTGCACCCTTCTTTCGCCGCGCGGGTCCCGGGTCTACGCGGACCGCTTTGCTCTGGCCCTTTAAGAGCCCGCCCCCTTCCCCGTCACCCCGCCCCGAGGCCCGGGGAGGGGGTGCGGGAGAACCTCGGCGGGGATTGGCGCAGCGCGCGCCCCCTCCCCGGCCCCCGCGCGGTGGGAACCGGCAGCCCCGTCTAGCGCTGACGTCAGACCGTCTGCCTGCCTCCGACCGCGGTCTCGGAGCGAAACCCGATCTCCTTGGACTTGAATGAGGAGGAGGAGGCGGCGGCGGCGGAGGCGCTCGGCTGGGGGAAGCTAGCAGCAGAGGCTCAGCCCCGCCGGCAGCGCGCGCCCCGGCTGCCAGCCCATTTCCCGGACGCCACCCGCGGGCACTGCGGACGCCCCCGGGGCTGCGGAGGGGCAGCCGGGGGGGGCGCAGAGGAGCGCGGCCCCGAGCACTGAGTCCCGCGGCGCCCCGGTAACTTGGCAGCGCCCGGAGCCCGGCGAGCCGGGGCGCGCCTTCCCCGCCGCGCGCCTCCTGCATGCGGGGCCCGAGCGCCGGGCGCCGGCCGGAGCCCCCCCCGGCCGCCCCCGAGCCCCCTGCGCCCCGCGCCGCGCCGCCGCGCCGTCCATGCACCGCTTGATGGGGGTCAACAGCACCGCCGCCGCCGCCGCCGCCGCCGGGCAGCCCAATGTCTCCTGCACGTGCAACTGCAAACGCTCTTTGTTCCAGAGCATGGAGATCAGTGAGTGACCCCGCGCCCCCCTCCCCGGAGGCCCCGTCAGGTTCGGACCCCGAATCGAGATGCAGATGCGGGCGGGGGCCCGGGCCGTGCGCGCCCCCTCGGGCTGTGCGCCCTGCGCCCCGGCTGCGCCCGCCGCGCCCCGGGCGCGCCCTCCCGGCTCGCGGCAGCTGGCGGCCGGCCCGGCTTTGTCCCGCGGCGCTGAGAGCCTGGCACGGCCCCCGCTGCCCGCGCCCCGCCCGCCGGGACTCGGACCCGGGGCCGAGCGGCGCAGAGGGCGACAGGGCGCCGTGCGCGGGAGGGCTGGGGCGGGTGGATCCCTGAAGTTTCCATTTTATTTCCCTAAGGGGCAGTCGCAATGGAGCAATTAGGCCGGCTCTTTATCAACTTTGGCTTGGGGGCAGGGGGGGGAGTCGGGCGTGTGAGACACTGTCTGGCCTGCGCGGTGTCTGGAGCTCCGGGTGTGTGTCTGGAGTGTGCGTGGCGCTGTGGGTCTCGGTCTGTGTGAGTGGGTTTCCGTGCCGTCCGTGGAGTGTGCTCTGACTGTGTGTCTCTGTCTGGGTCTCGGCTTCCCTCTCTGTGTCTGGCTGCCCCTGGAGTGTGTGCCCGAGCCTTCTTGGTCTCTGGGTCCCTCGGTGTTCCGGTCTGGGTGCCTCTTTTGAGTGTGTGCGTCTCTCTGAGGGTCTGGGGACCATTTGTGTCCAGGTTTCTGAGTCCAGGGCTCAGCGCTGGCGAGACGTGGATCCTGAGTGTGTGTCATTGTGTGAGTGTCTGTGTCCCCGACGCACCTATAAATAGCCTCTGTCTGGACAGCTTGGCTCAGTCTGGCTGGGACGGTGGTTGCAAATGAGTCAAAGTTTGGGGCTGTCTGTATTTGGGACTGACTTGCTCCGAAAGGGGGAGGTAGACTTAGGGTGGGGAGGGGAGTGTTTGAAGCTTGGTGCTAACTCGCCCTGCACTCGAAGAAGTTGAGCGGGGAATAAGCTTGGAGTCCCAACATCCGTAGCCCACCTAGGTGGGCTTTGGTCTAGGTGGTGAATTGACTGCCACCCCCCAGGGGACTGCCTTCTAGCCTATACCCCCTTCCCCCGCCCATCCTTTTGGGGACCTCTTGCCCCTCTGAGCTTCACATTCCCAGTCTTTGCTCCCAGCCACCCCAGGCGGGGGTGGCACACAGCCCTTCCCCGCAAGGGCCAGCCTTCCAGCTGGGACCAGGAGTCCAGAGGCAGCCGCCACCAAGGCGAGGGCAGTCACTGGGTGACTCATAAGCCAGTTTCCGCAGGCGGCTGCCACAGTTTTCGGCCCCTGAGCCTGTACAGTGAAGCGCAAGAGGTAAAAATAACCCGTGACCGGCCAGGCTGGGGCAGGCTGGCTGGCTTTGGTGGTGGGTCCTTCCATCTGCCGGTCCCCCACCCCCCCGCCCCCCGCCTTCCCCGCCCTCCAGTCCTGGAATTGAAAGCCTTGCTCCCCCCCACCCCACCCCTCCCAGCTGCCCCGCGCCAGGCCAGTGAGATGCCAGGAGAACCTGCCCAGAGCCAGCGTTTGCGGAATTGAGTTGCACTATACCAGATTGCTTCCAAAGGCCCTTTGTGAACTCAGGAAGCTAATGAAATGCACGAGGATATTATTAAAATATGTTCGCACACGTTTGGAGAGCCTCGTCCTTCAGTGGTGCCTTATTTCTTCCCCTCCTGTAAAGCTGCCTTAGGGAGCTCCCCCTGCCCCACCAGAGGTCGGCATTGGCAGCCAGAACTTATCCATTATGAGGGCTGGGCACAGTCAGATGTTCCATTCTTCTTCCTTTGTGTTCAGAACTTTTTAAAAAATTCATTTTTATTTCTGTGCCTTCTTGGGCTAACTAGCCCTGACGGTATCTTGGCTGACACGGAGGGGCTGTTAAGTCTGTTGCCTGTTGTGACTGCTGCTCGTCGGCATCCGAGAGGGACCCTTGAGGTTAGCGCCTGGAACCCGGGCCTGCTCCATCTGGCCCCGAGGTGGCCCATTAGTCACCATGTTCCGTGTATTTTTTACACACGGCCCCTGCTTCCTGGAAGAAAGCCCAGGGCAGGGAGGGAAGCGGACTGTAAGGCGCAGGTATAACATAACAGTTTGTTGCAGGTGCTAATCAGGTTTCCCGGAAATGGTCTGATGAGGAAGCCTTTAAGGCCTGGAGTTTCTTTATACAAAAAGGAGGAAGGAAGGATGAAAGGAAGGAAAGAAATGGACAGTGGCCACTGTGCATTTCCCGTGGTCTCAGTTGAGGGTTCAAGTAGGTCAGAGTTGGATTTGGAGGTGGGCTGAAGGGCAGTGCCCAGGTGGAGAGAGATGGCCCTTAAGTCCTCTGGGCCTTAGCTCTCTCATCTGAAAAAGGACACTGTGATGGTTGAAACAAACAAACAAACTCTACCATCTTTCATGATGAGACCTCTCCCCTCCAATGTCTGGCTTGAATAGTGCTGGGCCCTGGTGTGGACTTCAGTGGCACCAGATTCCACACTCGGGGTTCATACCCTCAATTCAGAGATGCAGGGAAGTGACAATGAGAAAAACTTTGCCCAGGCCCGCAGTCAGTGCTTAGACATAGGTACTCGTGGAATGCACACTCCATCTTGAATATGGAATGGGGGCCTCAGGTAGGGGCCCACCCACCTTCACCTTGCGGGCTGGAGATCAGCAGCATCTCCTTTGCCTCTGGGAGACTGGGAACTGGGTGGGCTCTGAGGATCATCTTGACTTTGACAAGACACTGCCCAGACTCTCCAGGGGCCCGCCTCTTTTCTGAGATTCAAGGAGGGCTGCAGTCTGACGGGAATTCACTGTTCCCAGAACATACCCCTTGAAAAAATACACCCATTTTGTAAATGAGCCAGGGGTCTTGGAATCAGACACAGCCAGCTCGAGTGACAGCCCACCAGAGGTGATCACTGAGGAGTCAGACGCACTGACTTTTGAGGAAAGTATTCCTCCTGGCACACGTTTGCATTTTTCTTGGCATTCTTTGACCTCTTTTTAGTTCTTCTGCGTCTGTTAGAAATCACCCCCTTTCTCCTCCAGCTTCTGCTTGAGACTTTTGGGGGCAGACAAGTGCTCACTCTGCTTTCTGGAGAGGCTGAATTGTGGGGCCAGACAATAACCAGCTGTTGGTTCTGGTGGCAGTATTTCGGGAGGATCCTGGGAGGTGCCCCTGCCCCGGCTGTGCCCTACACCTCTGCAGCAGTGTCTAATGTGGGAGCTTTTATTTTTTAAACACTGGCATCATGAGCCTCTGATTCCTCTTCTCTGACCTTTCCTCCGATCCTGAAAATCTTCTTGGGCACTAGAGACTCAGAAACTCATAGGACAACCCAATTTTCTGGCAGTTTGTGTGGCACGTGTGCTGTGCATGTGTAACACTTGAATCCCGGGGAATGTCAACCCGGGCTCTAGGATGCCTGGGCCAGACAGTTCCTTGCTGGGACGAAAGGGACGGTTGTCTTGGGTGTTGGCATATCACCCAGCATCCTGGCCTCTACCCTCTAGAGATCAGGAATAGGATTGTCCTCCCCCCACCAAGTTGTAATAACCAAGAATGTCTCCAGACTTTGGCAGGTGCCCTCTGAGAGGCACATTGTCCCTGGCTGACCATCGCTGTTTTAATCAGTTACTGGCTTTTCCAAGGGGACTGGGTTGGGGAGGAGGGCAGAGATGATCATCAATTTCCTTCCGAAACCAGTCCCCATGAAGCCCAAGTTGGCATCTGCCACTCATCCACGTAGCCTTTATTGAGGGCTTGTTGTGTGCCACACGGGGAAGATTGGGGCTCCTTCTTGATGAAATTTCCGGTTTTCACCTTGAATTTCCTTTTACCACCATGAAAGACGCAGGCAGCCGTGAAAACAGATATTTCAGGTTTCTGGTTAAACTATTGATTCAACACCAGCTTTTATACCCGTGGGCCCTCTCAGTTGGGACTTTTAACTCACATGTTTTCTGTCTGGGTTTTAGGTTGAGGTGCTGCAAGAGGCTGAGTTTTGACTGGATCTCAGGTCAGGCCCTGGGCCATGGCTTCCCAGGAGTCCTGGGTCAAGCCAGCTACGTCGCCCAGTGTGACCTGAGGTCAGGGGTGAGCTTAGTGTTTGTCAAAACACAGAATAACTAGTGGCTCTTGTGCACACATGCTTACACAGGCACACACGTGCATGTGCACACACACCCCTCGGCATGCAAACACACACACACACACACACACATATGGGTTCACATAGTCAGCTGCTACCCCTTTCTGCCTTTCCTGCCAGCTTCTCTTGGGGTTGGGAATGGTTACAGCTTCTTCTGGGCATGTGAGAAAAATAAAAAGGAAAAAAGTGCACACACACTTCCTCCCCGATGAGTTGTGCAAATATATGCACTCTCCCTTCAAAAGAGAAGGGAGACGGAGCTGTGGGTGAGGCTGCAGGGGAGAGGAGGCTGGCGGCAAGGAGTGGGGGGGGGAACTTCTTATGTTTGGGACTGCAAGATGTGAAAGATCATGTGCACCCCAGTAATCCCAGAGCAATCAGCTCAGGTGTGCCTAGGTACCCGCCTCCATGTACCTGCCCCACCTCATCTAGCCCAGGGCCAGGGTTTTTAAATGCTTATGATTCCAGCAATTGTCAAATCATAGGAAAGTGTTGGAGAGGAGGGTGCTGGTGATGGACCCCCACCAGGAGGGCCCGCGTGGCATTGTCTCCTCTCGTGTTATCACCCAGAGAGAAGTTGGCAGGCAGCTGGGCACCTGGGATCCTGAACAAAGAGGAGCTCTGACAGGTTGAGTGTTGGAGGCTGTATTCCTGCCGGCCTTGGGCTTTTGTGTGGCGCATGTGCTGAGTAGCAGATCAAGGCTGAGGACCCATTCTGTGCTTTATAAAAGGAGTTGTATGCACGTGTGCCTGTGTGTGCGTGTGAGGTACCCTTGGTTGGGGTAGGGCTGGGTGCTGTGTGTGCCACATGCCCCTTTGTCTTTGTGTACCTGTGGAGCAGAAAGG